AGCACCACAATGTATGCCAGTAGTGAATTCGCATATTTGAATAAGAAACTCAAGCAGGTCATTTTTGTGCACTTTTGCATCAGTCTGCGCCTCCCTGGTTGGTGTATTTGTTCGGATAATTCAACTTTGAATCTACACATACTGGAAAATTACATCTGAGGAATAATGTCCCTGGTCAAATACACAAAAAAGTCCAAAATTAACAAACTTCAAATTTCTTTGCGTTCTAAAAGCTCATCTCCACTATGGTTATTGAAATACTTGAGCAAATGTTTCTGATGGGATACGATAAATAATCTAGATGGAAGATGCCACGCACAATCAAATATACGGGAAATTGCTCGGCTTCTTTGATACACATCGCGAACTGGCACGCTCCGTTCGCCTCATCAATCACACGTTCAGCGTAAGTTCCACCTTTTTTCCATTTCCACGTGACTGTCCAGCATAGGCACACACCATCTTGATGACCATTGACCGGCCATGTTTGATGACCACTGAGCTGCTAACGATGGCCAGCCAGTTTTCGGATCTATAGTTTTTCCTCTTCTCAGTTGTCGGTGAACCCGAAGTGAAATATGCGCTTCAGATTAGGCGTTTTGGCAAATTGACTAGCATCTTCGGTCATTATTACGCATTTTAAGGATTGATTTGCGATCTGTGGTAATAGTGTGCCGGCTGGTTTAGAGATTCCACGCCAGTTCTCTACGCCACCAGCTTTAGATGGCATCACGTTTCGGAGGATTTGCAACCCAAATGTCTAGCGCTGTTTAAGAAAAAATTTTTCACAAGCAGATTCATAAAACTGACGAGATCTCCCCGTCTTTACTTTGGCTTTAAATGCTGATAGTGAATGAATGAGGAAGAAAGCTAGTGATTTTATCGCAGAAGCGCCTGTACTCGGCCTCCAGAATTCGGCGTTTCAGTTGAAATGAATTTGTTAATCGTCTTTTGCAGTTTTATATGTTTCTCATGACCGGCACCAACATACCCACAATGGTATTCTCTTTACTGGCGCTAATCACCGTCCAGAAGCAAACACTACTGAACATAATTGTTGGCGCAGCTTCAGTGACGTTCAGCAGCGCGCAGCTTATCTGCCTGACCTTGGTCCCTGCACAGCTTCATGAAAATGTTTGTTTAAATGCGGTTGAATTTCTTTGCAGTTTTTCGAACGCTTTTTTTTCGGCTGGATTTCATTTTCCGTTGGATTTTATTAAAACAAAGATTTCCGACGGTTAAATTAAAAAAAAATTAATCACACGCTCAGCTGCAAAAAATAAAAAAATACGATTTCTAGAAGTTATATTCAGTTGCATCTCTTAGTCTGTTAAAAATACTTGGCAGTGCTCCCTTCCTGATTCGTTTCTGAAAAAAAAAACCGAATCTGAAAAATTTTTCGGAGATAACCCAAGAAAAACCCGATGATGACATTGTTTCCGGGAGCAAAACCAAATCAAACTGCAAGAGCTTTTAAGCTGAATGCCAAGATGAGGTAATTTTTTTTTTTGCATATTCTTTCAGATTCGTTATGCGGAACAAGCCATATTCAACTGCTGTGCTATCTGGCATCCTTATAACGAAAGGGTTGGCTCAGCTTCAGAACTTAAACCCTCTAATCTCCGAGGGAATAACTGGTTTCGAAAACTAGCAGAGGTTTTTCTCAGAAATTTTAAAAATTCCTGGAAAAAAGCAGTATCTGAGAGTACTGCTCAGCAAAGCGTTTGCGAATCTACTTTCAGATCTATTCACTAGCACACGGTTTTATCGCGCACATTAACCAGCGAAGCTTGGGAGTGACACTCTGGGGCATCGTTGTGGTCACCAAGCGACTGATTTTGACGGTGAATTTTTGCACGATTTTTGAAAAGGAGAGCCCAAATTAATGTTGCCATGTCCAACTCACACTGTCTGACATGCCTTACATCAGTGGCGTACTGCAAAAACCATCAAAAAAGCCTGGCAAACTTCCTGTTGCGTTAAATCATGCCTCTTCGGCTTAAAAATGTTCTGATGAGGATGTTGGTAAACCGAACGGTCCAGCAATATTGCAATTTTAGACAATATCGCTAATCGTGACCTATTTAACATTTGTTATCCACTCAAAGCCGATATGTAACTGTGCGGAAGACAAAAATGCGAATTCGACTTTTGCCGACATTTTCTTCTAAATGTTTTTACAGTAACTATCAGCTTAAGAAATCACTGTGATCAAGTGATTAATTTGATTATCATGGCCGATGAAATTATTGTTGTAAAACGTGCAATCCAATATCGCTATTGCGGTCACAGAAAAAGCTAGCTTTATACATGCGATTAAAAAGACTGCTGCTGCTGCTGCTGTTGAGCTGAATTGACAGCTACAGTTGCACCCACAAAATCCCATGTAAGAGTAGTAATCGAAGAAATAACTGCTGTTTGAAACGTTCGATGGCACTACTGGTGCAGCCGAGAAGTCCTGCCATGCTTTTTTAGAAAATTGACTTCCAAATGATACTGCAGCAAAATGTCCGATTACGGAACAAATTCACTGAAATCAAGTCGGCCCTTTCCTTTAATATTTATTGAAATCGAAAAAAGAGACACAGGACTGGGAGCTATTTGCAGAAACCGTAAGCTGACTCCGTCTGGAAGGACAGAATTTGGAGAGCAAGAGCATCAGGAATCTGATTAACGCGCGTAAAGCATTAGAGAACCGAAGAACCACACAATATGGAACCAAATAATGAGATCGTTACAATGCATCAATGCTAGAAAATCAGCGAGTAAAAGCAACGCATTTCAAAAGCACAACAAATTTTTCCCTTCAAAAAATGCTCCCTGTTTCGAAAGAAAAAAAAAAAGAACTTGCATAGGGATATGAAAAATCAAACTACCAACAACAGGACATAAAAAAAGGCATCAAAAATGATAACATTACCAATCTCCGTAGACAAGAGATTTTGAAATGCATAATTTTATTTCCCGGGGAACAACAAGCGCTAATCTTTCGCCCACTGGGTAGCAGCAATTTCACAGCTCTCTTCCT